CGGTAGCCAAACTCCTGGGTATGTTCCTACATGTTTGCTTCCACTAAGTGCCTCCAACTCATTTTTCCACCCTGTGAAATTAGGCTTGCAACCCCAACACTTGATAAAATGTTCTTATATTTATGCTGTTTGTACATGGATGGATGTGTGTGTGTATGTGTACAGACGCTCACCCAGAGTGGTATGGTTATACTTTTGATCTTAACATCACTCAACTGTACTACCTTCACGACCCAGAATTCTGAAACTCTTCTTGATCTCCTATCCTCCTATCTTTTCATATGGTTCACTCCTAAACTTGACTCCTTTTAGTGGGTGTCTATACACACACTCACATGTATATGTACATATATATCTGTATATTATCTGTACACGTACACAAAGGCCAATCCAAGGGACACCACTACTGATCTGATCCTTCTTCAGTCTCTTTTGCTGAGTCATCATCCATTTCTATGTGAAAGGTTCTGAACTAGCCAAGGGCATCTTCCCCTTCTATCCTGTGTCCAATTCTCTCCTGTGTACATCTTGTCTTGTTGACTTCATAATTTCCCAATGGTTCGTTTATTACCTCAATGAAGATGGATCAGAAATCTATACATCTAGGTCTAATCTCTCTAGAGAATTGGAGTCTCACATCACAACTTCCTCATTGACACTTATCACTATGTGGATGTCCTGTCAGTCTCCAATGCAATATATCCAAAATGGAATATGCTATCCTTCCATCTATAGCAATCCACCTCTCCCCAACAAATGTATTTTTCTATTGAGGACAAACTGTTCTTCTAGTTGTCGCAGATTCACAAACTTGGAGACGTCCATGGAGTTTCTTTTGCCCTTCACTCAAAATCATTGACCAGGTTTTGTCAATTCTACTTCTTCATTATCTTTCACATCTGTGGCCATCTGTCCTCTCATGGGGCCACAATTCTTGTTAGGCTCTCATGTCCTCCAATCTGTACTATAGCAAAAGACTTCTAATGGCTTCCTGCCTCTCCTCTCTTTTCTATACTTTCCACAAAACTGCCAAATAAATAATATTCCAAAAAGATGGATCTAATCATGCCATTTCCCTATTCATGAAGCTTCAGTGACTCTCAACTGCCTGAAGGATAATAGAAAACTCCTCAGATTGGCATTTTAAAACTTCCCTAATCTGGCTCCAGTGTGATTTCCTACTATGCCCCTTGAGGAACACTACAATCCAGCCAAATAATATGAGCTTTTCTTGGGCTTGCCATTCCACTTCTAGTCTCTGTGCCTTGGCATATAGTGCAGCCCATGCCTGGGAGAGAATTTCTCTTTACCTTTGTCTCAGAATCCTGAGCTTCCTCTAAGACTCACACTAGATGCTAGACCCTAGAGGCAATTAATTCGGACCCCCTTAACTCCTTCCCCAAATTCCCCTCCATTTACTTTATGTGTTTTCATGTTATATCTCCCAGTAGAGGGAACGTGAACTTCTTGATGGGAGGGATTACTTTTTGTTTCTGTCTTTGTATCCATCGGACCCAGTACAGTGTCAACACATGTAATACGTGTTTTGCAAATGCTGACTCAGAGAAAATGCAACAGATGGGAAACTGTTCACTCAACAATCCTGACTGAGTATATGCACAGAGAATTCTGATTTCTATGGCCAAAGAAATCTGTCCAAAAGAAAGCCATCACCCAGGATCCTTAAGTTGAATCTAATCACCCAGTAGGGCAGTCAAAATTTAAAACTCTACCAAGGGAGCATCCAGGTGAGCCTGTTATATAAATTGCCTACACTAATCCTGCCAAATCCTGCTCCATACAACTACAAAGCAAAGAAAGAGGTGCCCAAATCCTCTAATCACCTGGCTTTGATGCACAGAAGCAAAATGCTTAGGTTTACAAATTTTGGAAAATTCCTTTTAAAACCTTTTCAAACATGAAATGATCAAGTGTGAAAACTAATTAACAAACAGTGGATCTGTGTTCTTAGGCAAGAGCTGACAGAGACTGAAGATGGAAAATAAGGGAGGAAGAAACAGCTACCTGCTGGCAATTTCAGAGATATTCCCCTCTTGGTGCCCTATGTAGTAGAGTTATCACTGGGAAGAAGAGCATTGCTCAAACACATTCACAGCTTTATAGAACAGACAAGTCCGGGAGGAAAAATGTTCTGCCCATTTAGTTATTAATTCTCCAACATGATTTTCTAATCCACCAACTCCACAAACAGCACAGACACAGCCATTTGGTAACTAGGGCTTTGCCACAAGTATCACAGCCAGTCATCATGGTTTCTTTTATTTAAATGTTATACTCATGTTGAGGTTTAGCCAAGGAAGAAAAGAAGTGAGAAGCTGCTTTTATGACAAGGAAGCTTGATGAGTTTGAGGCTATCAATTCACTCTCTGTTGGCCTCTACAAAGACAAACTCAACCTAGCTCCTCAGCTTATCCCAGAAACCCATCGATTAGGTCATGATGGACATGGGGTGGCAACCAAAGGACAAGGCACATAGTGTTTGTTCTTCTCTCAGAGCCCCTGGGCCACACAGCAAGGAACTGGGTTTCAGAGCAACCCAAAGAGACTTCTTGCTCCAAAAAGCAGAAGCCTTTCCAAGAAGTCAGAAGTAGAAAGCATACACGTTTCCTTCCCACAAATGTTTCAACTCAGCATTTAAAAGCTTCAGAATGGCCTCTCGATTTATAGGGACTAACAAGAAAGAGTCTTTGTTCTTTTCTTCCATGGTATATAGTCATAGCAGTTAGGAACACCTGTATCTCTGTTACTTATGCCTAGGAAGATTGGAATACCATGGAGATCCATCACAAGTCTCTGAGATACTGGAGTTCACATAATATATAAGCACATTGTGTGGCTGGGAAGGAAAACAACTTTAAATGTAGTTATGAGTTTGCATGTGTTGTTTTCTTCAAAATACAAGTTTCTCAAAAAAAATGTCTTTTGAGTTGGAATAATTATTTATAAAATACAAATGCCATGCAAGGCTTCTGATGAAAGGTTAAGCCAAATTATCATGGTAGGCTATGCTAGCCTGGGAAAGAAAGGTACAAGGGTGTCATAATTTTGCTGGGTCTGTGAATTGGGTCAGCTTTATTGGGCTGCTTTTGTACTTGGATTTCCTCTTCATTGTTTTCTTTCCCAAGTTTCCAAGGATCCCAAGGATCCAAGTTTCTCCAGAAAGAAACTCCAGAAACTAAAGTCTAGCTCCCCAGCAAGGTCTGTAGTCTTTCCCCCTCTTTCTTTAAGAGCAGGAACTGACTGCAGAATCTTACAACAATTTACTCAAAAGAATACCAAGCAGTATATTAATCCTTAACTTCTAAAGGGGTCTATGACAGGATCTAGAATAGTGGCTATATGCTTCAATCCTGTATTTTTCAAGGAGTTATATATTTCCCATAACTCAACCCACTTACTGAGGTTTAAGAAGAGGACACAATTTGCTGACCCATAGCCTCAGGAAGGCACATTTATTGAGAAGAAATGGATATATGCCTTTTGGGAAAACAAGGCAATCACGTGGGGGATAACAAGTGGCATCTTCATTTTCCTCCCCAGAAAAACAAATTCTTTTCAAGAAGTTAATATAGTTATGAGGAAGCCTGGACAGCAAATAATAAGACAAGTATACCTCTTAAGTGTTCAAAGATGGGTGAAGAAAAGGGAATGAGGCAAAATGATGGTTTTTCCCTTATAGACGACAGCCTCTGTGAACTACTTATTGTAAATAAATAACTTTATTATTTTCCAGCAGAGAAGAAATGAAGCAATTTGCTCCTTGAGTGCATAAATGGAAATTGCTCAAAGTGCACGATTCATAGTCTTGCTGGCTTGGGACATATTAAGCTTTTATAAACACAGGAAAAGAGAGATGCACACACAATGACAAAAGAGAGGCAGGTTTTCCCTTCCAGATCAACTTTAGTACAACCAAAGCCTACTGTAATGGTGGAAGGAAACAAAGAGAATGTCATGCCCAAGGATTCATAAAAAGTTTGGGACTAAGGACACCTGAAAACAACTGGGTTCTTAACAGGTGTTCTGAGGTTTTCCCACAAATAAGATGGCAGGGGAAGAACTTCAAGTAGGTAGTACCATCCTAGAGAATCTTATCAAACAGCCTGTTGGCAATTTGTCACAACAGTCCTATTCCAAAGCCTCACTATACCATGGAAGGGTGATCATTTCTGCGCTTTTGAAGATTATACCAGCTGAACACAACCAGTGCCTACCAAGTAGAAAAGCCTTTTAGATAGTAGCCTGGCAACAGACTTTAAGTGCAATATTTAAGGCCTGGCCTAGCTTTATTAGGAAAGGTTCACTATCAGGCTGGCTTTAGGTTTGTGAATTTTTCAGTCACAGTAAATCTCTAAAATCACTTACAAAGTTATACAGCAATTGTGATCAACATTGATAGTTTACCCACAATGAGATCATGAATTTTTAATGTATTGAAGCATTACAACTGGCAATATGAACTTGGCGTTTTATTCACTTTAGTTGTATGTTGGGTGCTGCCATTAAGTTGCCTGTCCCTCATTTTCTACAGTAGTGAGGAGGAAAAGAAAAGGTAAATCATCTGTCCAGCATTCAGAGCATACTGCCAAAGCAACAATGATGTTGGTAAATAAACCCAGAAAGCTTGGCTTTCTGTCTCGTAAGCTCTGAAAGGAGATAAGGAATGGATGTCATTACAATCTCCAAATATCAAAGAATTTGCTTCAAGAGACAACATACACAATGCCAATGATTAGGTTTCAGGTTATAGAGGCAGGGTGAAGCAGGGTGAAGAAGGAAACCAAAAAGAGCCACATATACCCCTTTAGAATTATGCTTTTTCCCCTTCATAGATTCAAGAATGATTTAAATTTCTGAGCCTCAACTGCCAGCTAGAAAGTATGGATTCCTCATGGGCCTCAGCTTATTTAGAAAGAATGAAAATACAAACAACATAGGTGAAAAGAGGATAAGTGCTTGGGAAAAAACATGAAACTTACCTGCAAGTAGAAAGGTAATAAGGCAGGTTTCCTTTGGCAAGTAGAGTTTGAGGCGAGAACCACTGAAAACATATTCCACCACAGCTTCAGAACGACCAGCTCGCTGGAGGAAAGGCAGGAACTGCTTGGCTTTCTGCGTATCCTGGTCAGGAGAAAGAGTAAACAGAGTCATTCATAAGATGGAAAGCACCATTTTCTTCTTGGGCCTTAGGACCAAGACACGATTGAATAGGTGAACCTAGGAACATGTTGATAATCAAGAATTCCAGACCATATGATGAGGCAATTAATGTTCTATTTTTATTAGTACTAAGGAGAGTCAATTTGTAGAGACAAAGATGTCCATCTTATAACAGTACTGGCACTCTTCTTTCTATACATCACTCTCCTTTCCCATTAAGTTACTCTCAGAGCCTTTTCTACTTGCTCAGAAAACAACTCTGGCTCAATTTCCCTTCAAATACATTATATAAGATTCAAAGCTCACTACACGTGGTAAAACCACAATCTTCAAAACTCTATATAAACTGATATCCGTTGATCACGTGACAATAATTTTCTCTCTGTGTCTATTTCTAGGGTTCAGACAAGACCTAGAGATATAATTTAAGTTGGTAAGGTACTAAAGCCAGAGAAAACTGTGATAGTTTGACAAATGTCACCAAAACAAAGAAAAGAAGCAATAGTAATAAAATACTGAGATCTGTGCCATATACATTATCTCTAGGTCCACTGAAATTTTCCAGACAGTAGCAAATTCTTTCAATGATGGAGACAAAAATTCAAAATCAAATTGTATAGTTTGCTTAATCTTAGAAATTATACTTGAGCTCACCACTAAGGCACACACATTCATAGTCTTGCTGTCCCGGGACATATTAAGCTTTTATAAACACAGGAAAAGAGAGATACACACGCAGTGACAAAAGAGAGGCAGGTTTTCCCTTCCAGATCAACTTTAGTACAACCAACGCCTATTGTAGTGGTGGAAGGAAACAAAGAGAATGTCATGCCCAAGGATTCATAAAAAGTTTGGGACTAAGGACACCTGAAAACAACTAGCAAAATTTACAAGGTCGGATCATATTAAAACTCACATTCTCTGCTTTAAACCTCTCTTTTAAACTCTATAAAACTCTCTTTTATTTTCTTCAAGTTGTCCAATCTTAAATCTCAAAGCAACTAAACTATGGTGATGTTTTAAACAAGTACTATCACATTGGAAGATATCTGAAATATAGACTATATGTTTACAATTAAGAGATTTTGTCAAGCAGACATCCCTTGGAAACAACACAAGTGACATACCAGAGAGCAATAAAACACTTTCTTTCTTTTACCACACTTAGTATTAATCATACACTAACTACAAACTCCATACGAGGGCAGAAGGTTCTCCACATTTTTCTGACTCCAATGACACAACTAATCTACGCTGCTGCAATCTCTTACTTTCAATCTTTACTCCTAGCAACAGGGCTATTATGACTAAATTAATGCATATTAGATAATGAAAATTTAACAAGCCATCAAGTATTTGAGAGTATCCATAGCAGCTCAGAAGACACAAAGGTGCTTTGGAGCCACAGGTATCTAGAGAAGCTAGGCAGGGATCAAAACAACATTTACAGTAATAGGATTCATCCTCTCTTTAAACAGAGGACAGCAGAAAAGAGAGACAGTAATCTATCTACTCAAAGCTTTTCCAACACCACAATTTTATTAAAAATAAAAATAAGGTGACATACAGCTTAGCTTGGTTGAAATTCTTATGCACAACTGAATACATGTTGTTGTTGTTCAGTCATTTCAGTTGTATCTGACTCTTCATGACCCTATTCAGGGTTTTATTGGCTAAGATATTGGAGTGGTCTGCCATTTCCTTTTCCAGCTCATTTTACAGATGAGGAAACTCAGCTAAACAGGGTTAAGTGACTTGCCCAGGGTCATACAGCCACAAAGTGTCAGAAGTCACATTTGAACTGAGGTCTTCCTGACTCCAGGCCCCGCACTCTACCTACTGTGCCACCTAGCTGCCCCTGAGAACAACATATATACAAACAAATGCCCACAAACATTTATGTGTAAATACTTCATCTGTAGTTGGAAAAAGCCTAGAATACCTAAGTATGACGAATATTATGGGGCATAAAACACTAGAGATATTAAAACCCTTTTGACATCAAAATCTAGGGTACCATATTCTTAAGTTGGATCTTCCAATTCAACAATGCATTCTTGAACTAAATACATCACATTACAAGTTCAGTGAATGACTCTAAAATGAAAGTCTTTGGTCCCAAAGCAAAAGAAATATGTATTTTTACATCCCCCCCCCCCCCCCCCAAGAAACATTAGATGCCTTCTAGATTTACCTGGAAAGTAAGCTAATAAAAAGTCAGAACCAACTAACAATGTAGCCATTTACTGCAGCAGTCTTGATTAGACAAAAAAAAATGAACTGTAAGGGATGGATCTATTTGCTACAGCCAAACTACCTTTCCCTTAGCTAAGCCACTAGTCTATTTCATCAAGGAGCCGACCTGCTCAGACTGTGAGAGAGGGGAAAGCAATGGGAGCTCACTGCTGCAGTGTTTAAAAAAAAATAAAATTAAAAAAAAATCAATAGGATGTTCTTAGCTGCCTCCCAAAACTCAACCCACAACTCAACAACCTCTGCTCCATAAAGGACATATTGGGAGGAAGCACAGGGAATCTGAAATGTCATTTTTAAGGCACAGGTTAGAGATTAATACTGATTGTGACAATTCCAAGATGAAAGCCAATTTTAAAAGCCTCCCTCCAAAACCAGTAGTGTTTATATTCAGAAGCCAAAAGTTCAGAGGGAAAAAAATCAATCTCCTGATGGACTCTTTAGGGAAGCAAACCCATACCTAGAATATGGACCATCCATTAAGTGACAAGGCAGAGATGGAAAAATAGCTTCAGGTGAACTATGCCTAGATCTTTGTCCTTAGCTAAACTCTACGCTGTATCATTCACAATGTAATTACAAAGTACTTCCAAAATGAAAGGTATAAAAAAATATAAACATGAATCTTTAAATTTAAATCTTTTAAAGTTTAAATAAATAAATAAGTTTAAATCTCTTTCCACGAGAAGAAAGTGCCTATACTTTTGGGTAGAGAAGAGTCGGTGAGAGAAGGATCCTAACAACATTTCAGTGATTGCTTTTGACTTGATAAACAGCATAACTTGTCTAGGTAAGAGACTATCATATAGGCTCAATTTTTAGTAAAGTAGAAGCTGTCTTCAATCTCAATCATAGCCATCACAGGAGAGTCTTTTCGAGACTTTAAATATAAGCCTGGAGCTTCCTTTTTCTTCCAACACGCATTTTTTTGTTGTCCTAAAAGTGCAAAGAAACGAGGCCAAAATTCTTTTCCTCTAACTTTAGTTTCATAGTAGATCAAATGCAAAGTTGAGTAAGGCAGAATGACAAGTTCCCTCAGGTGACACAGAACTTACCCACAAATCATCTCTGCCTACTCAGGATAGAAATGGAAACTGTTTACTCTGGGAATACTGATTTTATTACTGTAAAATTGACTTTGAACACTGTTAAATGATTTGCCCTCCAGAGGTGTTGCATAGTTCTAGAAATGTGTTTCTATTTCTTTCTAAGATTCTGGCTATTGATGTGAAAAAGCTTCAGTTGTTTAATGAAGTTTTAAAGCCTAAAGAGTGCCATTAAAAAGATACGGTTTCGATAAAGAGTAGATAAAGACTTGGAAATTAGAAACCACAGCATCTTCTTTTTCCTTCCTATTGTCATCAGATATTTTACTAATATAACTTTTGCTTCTTGGATAATACAGGGAAATGATTCAGCAGAGAATAATGAAACTTAATATCACTACAGACCTTAATATTTCCAAGGAATTACTCAAGAGAATTCTAGCAAGATGGCAGAATGGTCAAAACTAAGCCCAAATGTGTCAGGGTGGTTGAAACAATAAAAAATGTGTCAAATTTTCAAAATGAAAGAAAATGAGGGAAAGAAACTTCACAGGAAAAAGCATCCTTGTAAAACAGAAAGACTGAAGAAAGGAATAAATAAAACACAACCCACACAGGAGAGGCCACAATGCAGTAAACAAATACTACAGGGTAGAAGTAAGGAGAAATCTGCACAAAGAACAAGAGTAACGACTACACTTGTAGAAGAGAAAATGGCCCGTAAGAACCTTGAGCATCTTTTAAAATCACAATAAGAGATATGAAAGAAGGATATGGTATTGATAAGACTGGAAATAAGATTTCTGAAAGATTGTAACTACAATGGCTATTTTTTTTTCAGTTCTCAGCCTTAAAATGATCTCTACGCTCCTTTTGAATCTATTGACCAGTTCTTCCTCCTACAATTTCTCCTGACTTCAGTTCTACAACAGTACTTTTGTGTTCTCCTCTGACCTGTCTGACTGCTCCTTCTTTGAAATCCTCTTTGCTGTATCACTATCCATGTTCCATTTTGAACTGTTAGTATGCCAAGATTCAATCCTGGGCTCTCTCCTCTTCTCTCTGCATCCCCATAGTAGAATGTCGGATTGACGAGGACAGGGACTGTTTCACTTTTAAATTTAAATGCTGGCACATTGCGCAGACCATGGAAAAAGACTTGTTAACTGACTGACTGCTAAACTCATCAGCTCTAATTAGTTCATTAGTTATTGTTTTTAATGTTTATATCTTTCTACATTTCTAATCCATTAGTTCTCTGCCAAGAGGTAGAATGGATACCTTGTCACTAGTTTTCCGAAGTCTTTCAAAACTGTCTTCCTTTCTATTATTGTAGTGACTGTATAAGTTATTCTCTGGTTCTGCTCACTTTGCTCTGCATCAGTTTACACAAGTCTTTCCAGGTTTTTCTGAATCTATCATATTCATCATTTTCTGAAGTGCAATTTCTTGCAGCTGGGTATTTAGATGTCTCCCAACTGATTGTGATCCTTTTGTTTCCAGGTCTTTGCTAACAGAAAAAGTGCTACCATAAGCATTTGTGTACATGTGCCTCTTTTTACATAGTTTTTGACCTCTTTGAGGATATATGTCTAGCAATGGTATGATTTGGTCAAGGTGGTTCCAATTCTAAATCTATGGCCCTATAAGTCTTATAAATAT